CTTTTAATGGTATACATCACCTCTCTTTCTTTGCCCACTCTTCGTAATACGGTCTCGTTGGTTATCTTGTCTGTCCTTGATATCTTTAGAATTCGCCTGTATAGCCACATCTCGAAGGCTTCAAGTTTTTTCTCCATTGCTTCAGTTAGTGTCCAGGATTCAACTCCGTAATACAATATTGAGAAGATATAACGTCGTAGGAGCCTTACTTTTATCTCCAGATTAAGATTGTGGCTTTTAAAGAGTTTGGCCATGTTATTGAATGCACTCCTAGCCTTCTCTATTTTACATTTTATTTCCTGTGAGTGATCCCATTGTTCATTTACTGTTGTTCCAAGATAGTTATACTGTTTTACTCGGTCCACTGGTGTATTATTGATAAGTAGTTGAGCGTCTCTAACTTTATTTTTGCTGATGATCATAAATTTAGTTTTTGTTATATTTACTTGAAGTCCAAATCTTTCACTTACTTCATTTACTTTGTTTATTAGTTGCTGTAAACTGTTCAAACTGTCTGCAAAAATAACGGTGTCGTCTGCATAACGGATGTTGTTTAGGCGTTCTCCATTTAGAAGTATTCCATGTTCGCATTTTTCCAAGGCTTCACTAAATATTTCCTCTGAATATAGATTAAATAATATAGGTGAAACCTATCGTTCACCTCCAAAATTCGTTCTTATTGTGGCTGATTGGTTCCAGTTTAAATTTTGTATTATACGCCGATCTTTATCATCCATTTGGGCTTTTGTTAGAATATCCATCATTTTTTGGTGTTGAACTGTATCAAATGCTTTTTGGTAGTCCACAAAGCAGGCGTAAATATCGCAAGTCATATCTCTGCATCTTTGAAATAATACTTGTAGACTAAACAGTGTATCTCTTGTACCTACGCCTTTTGTGAATCCAAACTGTGTGTCTTGTATTCTCTCTTCGCATAGCTTGTATATTCTACGATGTATAATTTTAAGAAAAAGTTTTAATGTATGGCTCATTAGACTTATTAGCCTATATTCTCCGCACTTTTTTGCTCCCTGTTTCTTTGGTAAGGTAATAAATTCTGAAAGTAGCCAATCTTTTGGGATATTGCCTGTGTCATAGATATTATTGAAGATTTTACATAGTACTCTTAAAGATTCATCATCAAGAAGTTTAAGAAATTCAGATTGTACTCCGTCTGGTCCTGGAGCTCTACCTTCTTTTAGTGATATTATGGCTGCTCTTATTTCTGCCACTAGTATAGGTGGTCCTGTTTCCGTAGGTATTGGGGGCTGGTTATCTCTCTCATTAAAAAATAAATTTCTTATGTAATTTTTCCAGGTATCATTGATACTCTCTTTGTCCACGATTATCTCTCCATTGTCATTAACAAGTTTACTTACTCTTCTGTTTTTACATTTACCTGTAATTTCTCTTACCTTCTTGTACACGTTGAAGTCGTCGTATTTACTTTGGAGAATTTTGATTTCTTGGCATTTTTTCTCCAGTTCTTTCTGTTTGGCTTCTCTGATCTTTCTCTGTATCTCTCGCTGTAATGTTTTATACATGGAGTTATCGTTCTTGTTTTTCCTTCTTTCTTCCATTAGTTGCAGAATCTCTGTCGTCATCCATGTCTTATTCTTACCTTCTTCGTTCTTCATAAAATTGTCTTTAATGTCGTCTATTGTTTTCTTAAGGGATTCTATCTTATCTTCTGTGCTTTCCGTTGTATTATCGATTTCTTTAAATTTTCTATTTAATGTTTTGCTGACTATTTCTTTTACTTCGCTACATTTCAATTTTCTCATGTCATATTGTTTTACAGTTTTTTCGCGTATTTTCTTTAACTTAGTTCTATACACGCCCACTAAAGGATCATTATGTGATATATATATAATTTTAAAATCCAGTCAACATAAATGTATGAAAAAACTTGGTGCCCCTTAGACATTTTTGATGTGTTTATTTTGTCTTGATAGAGACTTCAGTTTTGTTAGCACTAGAAAAAGTCTACAATTTTTAAGAGAATTCATAACTTCTAGCTAGTTTTACTACATCGATTATGTAGAACTTGCAACTAGGCATAAATATATAGAAACCACAGAGCAGACTCAATAACGGATCTACAAGTTTTAGGAAAATATTTAAAAAGTTGAGACTTTCTTGTAGCGCTAGCAAAACTGAAATATGCTGCTTCATCACAACAATATAATGGCATATAGGGATAATAAGCATTAAGCTTCATACACCAGGACAAAATACTTTCATATCATAAGTTTCCTAAATATCTTGGAGTTACACTAGATTGTACCCTTTTGTATAAGCAATACTTTTACAAACTTTCTGCTAATCTGAAAACGAGAAATAATATTCAGCCAAAAGATCTGTGGAACAATCATCGAGCAAAAAGACAGGAGAGGGAATGTAAAGATGTTGGAGGCAAAAATATTGTTAGATGAGAAGTGCTATTTTGAGAGACCACATTAAACAAGGAAAGAGAGTCACTTTCCTTGTTTAAGAAATCAAATTTAGTTGGGTTATGTTATTGTTTTTTCCAATTGTCACAAGAAAGCTTATTTATATTGTTTTTTTGATTTTAAATAATGAAAGTTTTTTAACAATTGTGTCACATTTTAGACTATTATCGTTATTATTTAATTAAAATTTTTTGGTCTAAAAAATTCTGAAAAATATTTTATAGCTACATACATTAAATTCGGAGACTTTGTATTCCCGGATATGTCTCCAGGATATATATACTCCATATTAAGAGGCCACTTTTATGAATTTTGGTCTCTTTTTAATAACGAGTAGATACTCTCTTTTGTATTTTTGCTCGATGGGAAAAGCTAAGGAATTCCCAGCTGCAACCCTGCAATGTTTAGCTCATATTTATTCCAATGGCTTTCCCCTATCGGAAAACTCCTTAGTAAGGGAGTTAATAATACCCATTTACCAATACACCAATATATTTCCGATTTGGGAAGAAACTGGCTAAACTCTAGAAACCCGCCTCTATCTCCAGGCACCTATTCTCCTTTTTCTTCACGTACCATAGTAGAATTATTCGACGTTGGCGATCACCGTTGCAAAGGCTTCTCGATCTTTTACCTCATGAAATAATTGTCCTGAATGCGATATCTGAATCCATTCATGAATGTTTTTTAACCAAATACATATTTTCTTCCTATACTCTTAGGTTTTCTAATTTGTCTTTAAGGATCAGTTGTTTGTAGTATTCTATATGATCCCCCCCCCCACTATATATCCCAGATAAAAGATTTTTCGTCGTTTAACGGTCTTTAACAATTCTATATATTTGTTGATCCTACTTATTACTTCTCCATTAATCCTCTCTAATCGAAGCTCTAAAAGACATTGGCTTGGACGGCAGAGATGTTCGAATAATTGCAAATTTATATTGGAATCAAACAACATCAGTTTTAGTAGATGGTGTGGAATCACAAGCTCTCAATATTAAAAGAGGAGTACGGCAGGGATGCCTCTTGTCACCCCTGCTTTTTAACGTTAACTGCGAAAGAATTTTCAGAAAAGCACTTTCTGAAAAACAAGAAGGAATACTTGTGAACGGCGAAGTCATCAATAATTTTCGATATGCGGACGATACAGTACTCCTAGCTTCCAGTCAAGAAGATCTGCAAACACTACTTGATAGTGTCGTTGAGAGTTGTAGGGAGGCAGGTCTGGATCTTAACATAAGGAAAACCAAAATACTCGTAATAAGTAAACAACAGAATATAAAACCGTCTATATATGTAAATAATATCAAACTTGAGCAAGTTGATAAAATCGTCTACCTTGGACAGCAATTAAATTGTAATGCAGAAAATCACGGCGAAATTAGATCCAGAACAGAGCAGGCTAGAGCTGCTTTTAGAAGGATGTCCAAGGTGTTATGTAACAGAGACCTAAAATTGGCATTAAGGATCCGCCTACTTCGCTGCTACGTGTTCTCGGTCTTACTTTATGCTGTCGAGTCCTGGACTGTGAATAAAATCGATCTAAATCGCCTTGAGGCTTTCGAAATGTGGTGCTATAGAAGAATTTTAAAAGTTTCCTGGGTGGAGAAGATTCGTAACTCCACAATACTAGAACGTCTCAGCAAGACTACTGAGATCATAAAAAGCATCAAGCAGAGAAAGCTAGAATATTTCGGACATGTAATGAGAGGTCCCAAATATAGATTGCTACAAAACATCATGCAAGGCAAAATAGCAGGCAAACGCAGTCCAGGACGAAGAAGAACCTCATGGTTGAAGAACTTGCTAGACTGGTATGGTGTAGATACAAGCATGCTATTTAGGGTGGCAGTGAATAAAATTAAAATAGCTATGATGGTAACCAACGTTCTGAAAGGACATGGTACATGAAGAAGAAGATTAATCCTTCTTGCTGTTCTAGGTATCCTTTATAGACCAATCATTAGGATTTGTTTAAGTTTATTTTAATGTCGATGCCCTCTCCTTATTTTTGAATATAATTAAGAAGAATATGGATAAATCAATATTTTCTAACCGAAATATTGTATGATCTGTGTATCTAATTAAATTAAGTAGTTTCTCTTTAAGTTGTGAATACATCTTTTCGTCAATCACAGCATAAAAAGAAAGACTATTGGAAGAATAGATTGGAAGATATAATAATTGTTAATTTACTATTTAAGTCCTTGATGGTTTTTAAAAGCATTTTGATATCATCATAGAATAGATCCAATTCTTCTTCATCATGGTCTGTCATTATCATAATTTAATTATATTAAACTAAATTGTCACAAAAGACGTCTAATTTATGATAGTATACTTTTAAAGGTTACTTGATTTTTTTTTTTTCAATTAGTGTGCACTTATCAACTGTGTTAGCTCATGGGAAGCGTGAAATAATGTTAATGTTATGCACTTTGTAAGTTTCTTACTTTTTCCTCTTCAAAGACAAATACCTAATGTATTATGGAAGTCAAAGGAAAGGCAAGTACTTTAAATATAAGGCGTAAAAAAACAAAATTTAAGTTTAAAATTTTATTTCACATAAAATAATTTTTAATTTAACAATTTGTTATCTGATAATAAGATACCTTTTATTAAGTGGACAACTTAAAATTATACAAATTTAGAACTATATTTAAATCTTATAACCATTGTTTAAGAAAACAGAATAGGAGTATTAATATGGTAATAGTCATATATCGTTCTTGGTGCGTCATTTTAGTACCGCTACCATCTCCGAATGGATCACATCCCACCTCTAAAACACAAGAAATATAAAATTGTTAGTAGCGTGAAAGTAAACAAATAGGAAAAACTAGCATTTGTACAGGGTGATTCTTTGTGACTTTCGATTAGACGTTTTATAGAAACGTAATATAATAAATACCATAATAATTTAGAATGAGGGGTTTTTAGATATGCACAATTAATTTAAAATATATAGATTCCCCTACCATGTCCGGCTATACCGGAAGTTGACTAAGTCTTTTTTTTTAAACTTTTACATTGAAGTGAAAACTTCTGCCGTTATTGGTAAAATTTAAAAATTAAATCAAAATCCATATGAATCGGTCAGTTCAGAAAAAAACATGATTCAATTTTTGACAAGTTTGAAAATTATTCAGAAATCCGTTTTTTATTTCGTCAACTCATCATTTCAATCAGAAACAACATCAGGTTCGACTTGCTGTAATAAACTGCAGCTTATATAAATATTTATTCCATTTTAAAACTATATGAGTCATCGATTGATGTTGTTTCTGCGCTCAATTGTCACTTGTAAACAAAACGGCCAAGACGGCTGGAATGAATGCGACGAATAGCGATTTGAATTCGGCAAAAAATAAAAAAAATGGTTAAGGGGGCAAGTGTAAGTCATAAATTATTAAAAAAAGCGAGGCTGTGTGGGAAAGAATATGAAAATTATAAAGGTAATGTTGTACTTGCAAGAACACCAGGAGGAGACTATCGGTAAGTTTTCAAGTTAAGTTAGTTTTAGAAAGTAAAATTATTATATATTATCTTGTAATTGCATGAACTGCTTTTAAAAACTTAATGCAGTTGTAAGGGTTGAAATGCTTGTCAAATTCAGAAGCATGCTTGCCAAGAATGCACAAGATTCATACTTACAAGGACTGGGAAAGAGTGTGAAGTAAAACAGAGACAACCTTGAAATGGAAATATAGAGGAAATAACATTAGTTACTTCGTGACAGACTCGGGTTGTTTTCAAAAAAGTTTTCATGGGAATTCACACTGTGAGTCATGAACGAATATAAAGAATTTCTAAACTTCTTATGCTTCTTGTGTTGGCTTAGTTGCTCGCACAACACGCAAGCTAGAAGAAATTTATACCACCTTGTCAAATGCCTCAAAAAATATGGGCCTGCATGTAAATAGGGAGTAAACTAAGATAATGGAATCAACCCCCAACAGTAGAGTTAGAAACATCGGTCAATAATTCATAGTTGATAACTCTACCTTTGAAGTGGTTGACAAATTTACATACTTATGCTCTATGATCACCAATGAGAACGTGATGACGGAAAAAATCAAGCGAAGAATAATCCTAAGCCAAACAAACTTAAGCCAAAAAACAAAAATAACCATCTATAAAACCCTTATACAACCAGTGTTGACATACGGATCGGAAACATGGACCATTTCCAAGGCAAATGGAAACCTCCTGCTTATATTTGAACGAAGGACCCTGAAAAGAATATTCGGTGGCATCTGTGAAAATGGTGTTTGGAGAAGTAGGTACAACTATTTGATATATCACAGATATAAACATAAATTTGGTGGTTAAGACGTAGTCTCTCTTACAAAAATAGGAAAGACTAAAATAGGCACGACATCTAGCAAGATCACAGCAGAACATCCACCTAGAAGATTCCTTATGTCACAACCTGTGAGAAGTAGAGTAGGGGTAGGCCAAAACTCAGATGGAGGGATGGTGTAGATAAGAATAATAGAAAAATAGGCGCAGAAAATTGGCAACAGTTGGCAATGGATATAACTGACTAGCGTAATAGACTTGGTAAGGTCGAGGCTTTTTTATAGGGCTGTAGCACCAATGATGATGATGATGAAACTTCTTGTGCAAGAAAAAGCATTACCAGATACACCTGGGAAAAATATGTCATAAAATAGTTTCTCAAAAGTTTAGTATAACAAATTAGGACTCATATTAAGAATTTTCTCAATAATATTGTATATTACACAGGGAAAGGGAAGCATTACTTAGATAAAAAATTGAATGTGCGAATTATGTATGACCTATTGGCATAACGAAGGCGTTTAAAAGGAATGGAAAGGGAGAGCTACGCGACCGTTTTGATACATAAATAAAAAGTAAGCCAAAATACCAAAGAGCTAATAGGTAAAAAAAAAGACAGCTAGTGGAAAAATACAGCTCCAACTACACAACAATTAAGAAATTAAATAAAGATATTTAGCGATCAATCTGAAAAGACATAAAAGACAACAATACCAAAGAAGTAACTAGATTAATTCTATTAATTCAAAAATTCATGAGAACAAGAGTTTAAAAGTTTTGAGGCAAAATACGAAAAACATAATAGGCAACAAAAATATGTACAAAATAAAAAACAAAAATGGAAACAGTACTACGAATAGAACTAAAATCCTTTAGGATGTCTAATCATTTTATCGCGAAATGTCTGAGAGCAACAACGAAAGGCAAGATTATCCCCTGCCCAAAATCACAAACCAAGGATCACAATTATTGCCAGAAATAACGCCATACGAAATCAAAACGGCACTTTTAGAAACGAAAAATAACAAATCCCCTGGCGATGATGGAGTGGTGGTCGAAGTGATCAAACTAAGTGGAAATAAAATTATCCAGGCTTTGACCAAGCTTTTCACCGAATGCATCTACCAAGGAAAAACTCCTTCTCAATGAAACAATGCAGTCAATATTTTATAACACAAGCAAGGAGACATAGCAGATCTAAATAATCACCGTCCTTTCAGTTTGCTTTCACACATATATAAACTTTTCTATAAATTTATTTATATGAATTTATAAAGCCAGTGTAAGACCGAAAATGACATATACCTCAGAAATAAGACCTGTCACAGCTACAACGCAAAGGTTACTGGAAACGGCAGAGACTAGAGTACTGAGAAGAATACGCTGAGAGATCGAAAGACAAGTAAAGGCATTAGAAGAAAATGTAACATGCAGTGTATAAATGAATGGATACAAAATAAAATAAAAATAATGGAATAACTACATAATTAGAATGGAGGAGACTCGTTTCGTCAAAACATCATAAAATAAGTCAACAATCTGCAAAAGAGTGACAACCTTCCATAGAGGTATTAATCCGCCAATGAACAAGCAGAACTGCTTATAAAGAGGAAGAAAAATAAGGAGAGGATAATCTTTTTATTAATCTAGAGAACAAGCTAGGTTTATATCGGGATATAGCACTAACAACCACTTACTAGTGATAAAGAACCTGATAGAGATGTCTGCAGAATACGACAAATCATTGGAACTGATATTTGTGGACTACGAGAAAGAATTCGATACCATAGGCAATCAGAAAATGTTTAAACAAAGCATTAACAGAATGCCAAATAGACCATCGCTACACTAAATTAATCAATCAAATATGTCTAGCAAAATGTCACAGGTAGGTGACAGGTAGGTGAAGATATGGAAAACTGTGGATCGTCAAACTGGTAAAAAATAAAAAAAAAATTGAGTGGAGTATTACTGATAATAATAAATTATTGATACATCCAGAACACATAGCAAACAAATTTAGTAAGTATTTTTGTACATCAGTCAAACACACATTATTAACAACACATTCTTTTTTTCTGAGGTCTCACCATTTGATATTGAGAATGCTATATCTTCTTAAACTATACCAGCTCAGCAGGTATTGATCAAATCCCCACTAAAATAATTAAATACATTTCTTCATATATACCTCCTGTTTCGTCTCACATCATCAACCTATCTGTCAAGGATGGCAAGTTTCCAAGTGACCTTAAAACGGGAGTAGTTAGTCCAATTTTCAAAAAGGGAGATCCATGTTCGGTTGATAATTACAGGTCAATCACCGTAACAAGTGTACTCTCTAAGAATATCGAAAAGTGTATTTACAGTAAAATGTTAAATTTTCTGAATAAATATGATATCTTAAATAAATGCCAGCATGTGTTTCTTCCTAATAAATCTACAGAGAGTGCTTCTATTTCATTGTTTAATTATATCCATATTATATCCTGAATAAATTAAAAGCCCTTGGTTTTCGGGGTCGTTTCTTAAACTGGTTAAGATCATACTGACAACATCGTAAATTCCTAGTAAAAGTCGATAATAAGAAGTCATCTGGTTTTAATCCTGATCAAGGTGTACCGCAAGACTCCGCGTTGCGACCCTTAATATTTCTTTTATATGTCAATGATTTGATAAATTTTTTAACTGGAGACCATACAGTTCTTTATGAAGATGATTCAGCAATTGTAGTTGACGAGTCAACTGAAGTCGAACTCATATCAAAAATGAACTTAGTAGCACAGGAATTTACAACCTGGTGTAAAAGGAACTCTTTAATGGTAAATCAAAGAAAACTATTTGTATGCAGTTCTACTCGCGCTGTAAGCCATCCCATAGTTATAAAATCATAGTTAGTTCTGAGGAAATACATTTTAGTGATACAACATTATTTCTTGGTAGCATTCTAGAAAGTAATATAACATCGGATGAAAATGTCACTAAAGTTTGCAAAACAATGAATAAGGGTTACTATGCGCTCCTTCAGTTGAAAACTCTATTAAAGACCAATCAATTGATAAGTCTGTATTATGCATAGGTTTATTCATATTTGGCCTATAATGTTGTCTTTTGGGGCAACTCTAGAAACTCTTCTAGAGTTTTTATAACTCAAAAGAGAATTCTTAGATTGATGTTCGATATTGATAATAGACAGTCACGTCGTAAATATTTTATTGAACACAGACTGTTGACTTTTCATGCTTTATATATTTATAAGTGTATTATTCACGTCAAAACTAAATTTCAAAATTTTACCCTCAACTCTGACTTTCATAATTACCTGACAAGACACGGGAGGTTGATAAGCGTGTGTAAACACTCCACAACTCTCTTTGAAACTAGTCCTGATTTTGCAGGATATCTTCTTCTTCTTCTAGTGATATGACCATTATCGATCGTTGGATATCATGTTGGCTACCATATTCGCTATCTTGACTTTATTGACAGCAGCTCTAAATAACGATGTAGTTGATTTTCCATACCATTGCCTTAGATTTTTCAGCCATGATGTTCTTCTTCTACCAGGACCACGATTACCTTGGATCTTTCCCTGAATGATCAGATGTAAAAGATCATATTTTTCAGGGTGTCTCATAATATGACCGAAGTATTCCAGCTTGCGTTTCTTTATTATATTGACCAGTTGTGTTGTTTGGTTCAGCCGTCTAAGGACCTCCTCATTTCTAACTCTGTCGACCCAGCTTATTTTCAGTAGTCGTCTGTATACCCACATCTCAAAGGATGTCAAGCGTTTAAGCATAGCCTCAATTAGGGTCCACGCTTCTACTCCATACAGCAGGACAGGAAAGATGTAGCAAGATATCATACGAACTCTAAGATCAATGCTAAGATCGTGACTGCAAAGTACGTTTCTCATTTTTACAAAGGCAGCTCGGGCTTGTTCTATTCGGCTTTTAATTTCTGTGGTTGGATCCCAGCTCTCATTGATATTACTGCCGAGATACACGAGTTTCTCTACTCTGTCCAGTGGTGCATCTCCGACTTTTATACCGTCATCATGTATATAATTTTGTTTGCTAACTATCATATATTTAGTTTTCTTAACGTTGAGTTTTAATCCATACTGATCACAAGTCTGTTTTATTTTGTTCATTAGATTTTGAAGGTCTTCTCCGCAATTGGCAAGGACTAAGGTATCGTCGGCATATCTAATATTGTTGACGGTTACTCCATTCACAATAAAACCTTCGGTTGTCTCCATTAAGGCTTCCTTAAATATTTCCTCCGAATATAAGTTAAAAAGTAAAGGCGACAATATACAGCCTTGTCTCACTCCTCTTTTTATATTTATTTCATCCGACAGTTCTTGTTCAACCTTTATTCTTGCCACTTGATGCCAGTATAGATTTGTAATTATTCGTAGATCTTTATCGTCCAATCCAGCTGTTTCCAATATTTCTAGAATTTTGTTATGTCGGACTTTGTCAAAAGGCAGGATATAAATTTTACAATTGTTTGCCACTTAATATAAGAAATGAAAATAATATTCAAAAATAAATTAAAAGCATGCTTGATCCAATTATGCGTTTACAACCTAAATGATTATTTTGACTTAATAAAAGACTACAGGGAATGAGGACCGACGGGTTCAGAGACGCTCTATAATGCATATCTTTTTTTTTATATTAATCTATATTTTATTGATTTTGTTTTATGTAATTTGTCCTATATAACTTGTTTATCATATATATTTACATCTTAGATCTAAAGTTTTTGATGCATGCATTATTCCGATATTAACTTATGCGGCACAAACATGGACAATCACAAAAAAGAATATGAATATACTTAGAGTCACTCAACACGCGATGGAAAGAGCACTGCTAGGTATATCACTTAAGGACAAGAAAACAAACACATGGATAAGACAGAAAACCAAAGTCACCGATGTGGTGCAAAAAGCATTAAAGCTGAAATGGGAATACGCTGGACATGTAGCTAGGAGCGATCTAAACAAATGTCACAGATCAATTTTAACCTGGAGACCATACCAACACAAAAGACCCAGAGGCAGACCTCCTATGAGATGGACAGATGATCTGAAAAGGACTGCCGGGAAAAATTGGCTACAAGTAGCGTACAATAAAAACCAATGGAAAGGAAGACTTGAAGAGGCTTATGTTCAGATGTGGACGTGAATGGCTAGACGAAGAAGAAGAAGAAGAACTTGTTTATTATGCTTTATGTACTATATGACTTGTCCTATATCATAATGTGATCTAATGGGATTAATAAAGAATATTCTATTTCTATTCTATTCTACTATTAATGACTTAACAGTCTTAATAACATAAGTGTAATTGTTTGAGAAAGTATGCGCGAATTCATTTCATAATTTTACAGTTAATATTTTTTCTGTTACGGTACTGTAATGTGATCTAATTTGGTGCCGTATTTTAAAAGACCTTCTTAAAATATATTATTTCCTGTGAGTTCGTAAAACTCAAACTGGCTCTCATTTATCATGTTAACGTACGCAGAATTGGGCTTTTTCTTTGTATTCTATGTCAAAAAAGATTGAACCAAGTGGTTGATTTATGGCACTTGCATCTGTTGGCCACCCAAGGACCATAGGGCGGTATTGCCCTGGTAGCGATCTCAAGACGCACACTTTTTTGCCACTTCTTCGTCAGACAACGATCGATCGACAAGCATCAAGTTCCAGACGGTTCTCGTGCTAAGCCTCGGGACGGCGACGCTAACGTCGGTATCACGACCAACTCCTCATGCCCAGTGACCAACTCTACAGCTTGGTACGAATTCATCAATAGAACCAAAGGGTAAGTCTATTCTTGTATAAAACATTGATAATGAGTAAACCAGTTTATTTCTAATTTATTTCTACTTTTACAATTTATAATTGCTATTTTCACCAATTTTATGTATCAACAATATCACATTTTTTCGTTATATTGAAATAAGACAGCGATAATCGAAAGCGAGAGAAGAAGACAACAAATTAAATCGAAACAAAGTTGTAAGATTTATGAAAATCGACCCTGGCTACGAATAATAATGAAGGTTTTGATAATTGAATGCATTTTATAGGCCTCCTTGAATCTAGAGAATGGCGAGTATGGCGCGAAAAATTGGATTTGTTCATTTTGTTGAGCATTGTATGATACGAGCACAAAAGAGAAGACAATGCAAGAATAAATTAACAAATCAACACGAAGAGAATATCTAGATTTAAAGAAGCAAACGGTTTTAAACAAAATCAATTGCAAACAAGTGAGAATATCGATCAAAAGGTAAGTAACGAAGAAAATCAAATGAAATGTGTTTAAATTAACACGCAAAACGTACATAATGAGTTGGAAAGTATGTTACAGGTAGAACAAAAACATAATTCACAAAAATTAGCATAAAAACAATGTAAAAAATGCAAAACAATAATTCATAAATGTAATATGATATATATGTATAATTAATGCTTGTATTAATCAAAATATATATAAAAGTATTTTACCTACTGAAATTATGAATTATAAAAATAGAAATAAATTTAAAAATTGCTACGTAATATGACCCAATTTAATTAAAATTTAATTTAAAAATATAGCGCGAAGGACTGTATCAGATTTAAAATAAAAGAAACACAAAAAAAAACAAATAATTAATTAAAATGAATTAATTAAAACACAATGAAATTAATTAAATCAAAGTTATAATCATTTATAATTCGGCTCGATCAGAAACAAATGTTTAGTGATTAAACTTGACAAGTCGCTGGTTTAAATTATATTGAATAAATAATTTTAACGAAAAAATGTGATATTGTTGATACATAAAATTGGTGAAAATAGCAATTATAAATTGTAAAAGTAGAAATAAATTAGAAATAAACTGGTTTACTCATTATCAATGTTTTATACAAGAATAGACTTACCCTTTGGTTCTATTGATGAACTCGTACCAAGCTGTAGAGTTGGTCACTGGGCATGAGGAGTTGGTCGTGATACCGATGTTAGCGTCGCCGTCCCGAGGCTTAGCACGAGAACCGTCTGGAACTTGATGCGTGTCGATCGATCGTTGTCTGACGAAGAAGTGGCAAAAAAGTGTGCGTCTTGAGATCGCTACCAGGGCAATACCGCCCTCTGGTCCTTGGGTGGCCAACAGATGCAAGTGCCATAAATCAACCACTTGGTTCAATCTTTTTTGACATAGAATACAAAGAAAAAGCCCAATTCTGCGTACGTTAACATGATAAATGAGAGCCAGTTTGAGTTTTACGAACTCACAGGAAATAATATATTTTAAGAGGATCTTTTGAAATACAGCACCAAATTAGATCACATTACAGTACCGTAACAGAAAAAATATTAACTGTAAAATTATGAAATGAATTCGCGCATACTTTCTCAAACAGTAATACAAACAAAAATGCTTTCCCAAGTCCAGGTGTGGTTCATAAATAAGAGCTTCATTTTTAGTGATGACTCGGCGCCCGTCACAAGGCAAAAACTGTTACAAAATTCCTTGCTGACAACCAGATGAAAGTGCTTGACTCACCTGGCAATTCGCCAGATCTGGATTCAGATAGAAAATCTTTGGAAGCTCTTAAAGAAATAAATTTCTAATGAAATTATAACCACAAAACGTCAATAATTGATCGAGCACCTAATAGTAGTATGGCTCAGGAGGGAAACAAGATGCCAGGCAGTGATTGTTGCAAAGGATGACACCACCAAGGATTAGGCTTAAGGCACAATTTTAAGTGATTTTATGTAATTAATCGCTTCTTTTTTAATATTTGTATACTTTATAAGGTTCTAAAACACAGTAAAATAGAATTAAGTACAAATATATGGTTTATAGCTCAATTATATAACTTTATTAAACAAAACGTAAAATTTTATGGTCTAATAATTTGACCCCCCACTGTAATATTAAATTAATTACAATCACTTTGATGTTGGTTACTTTTGAAAGAAGGCGAAAGCACAATAAAGAAAAATATCTAACCATTAATAATTGTTTTTTAAATTATATCGATTTAATTACATTATCAACTTTTTTTGTAATATTTTACGCATTTTTAACCTTATACAATTTTAAACATATAGAAAAAAAATACATGTTCTCACCTCCGTAATACACCGTGACACTATCCAGCCTCGCGTTTGACGGCACGCACGAATAATTCCCCGCGTGCGTTTTGTTCGCTTTCTGAAAGATCAGTTCGCTTCCCTGAGGTCCTTCTCTGACGGTGGCCCCGTCCTCAAGGTCATAGTTTATCATTCTGTCCCCATGATACCAAAATATATAAGCCGGCTTTTCCATCGAATTTATCAGCTCGCAGCTGAGGCGAAGGGGAAGCTCTTTGTCACTCGGTATCACTTTTACAGGACCTCCAATTATTTTTGCACGTGCCTCTTAAATCAAAATGGGATAATATTACTGAAATTGTAAAAGCAACCGTCATTAAGGAGTTTAATAATTTGAAAACAATGTTGACTGTTTTCTAAACTCTTTTATTAGAAAACATCTCTGAAATATGTAATTAACCGAAATATATGAAATTAACTATATACCACTGTTTAATTTATATATATATATATATATATATATATATATATATATATATATATATATATATATATAGAAAAAAAATTTAATCTTTGCAGATAAGTTAGATAGTAAACTTTTAAATATTGAGGAAATCTGCAAGAAAGACTCTAATGAGTATCAATTGTTTCGCCAAACGTTTTCGCCAAACAGAATCAATTTGGCTTCTTCAGGGCTGAAAGAGATGAAATTATTAGCTACCATATATTATCTATTAAAAAAACTGATGATCTTTCGTAACTTAGATTTGTAGAGTTAGAATATTAAAAAACTTAGCTAGTAACAACGTAGTGGTTTTTTTGTTACTATTTGAAAACAACAAGTTTTTTTACCGTTGGAAATGTATGGTAGCTTTGAACTTAAAACGCTAAGGTGTACCCAAGGTTAATCGAAAAACCCAATGTAATTACATTTAAAAAGAAGTAATTCTTTGAATTGTCGGCAATAACTAAATTTTTGATTGTTTGAAAGTTTAAATGTGAGGTTCTGTTTTATCAGAACGCATGCGCTGACAGTGCTTTTGAATCTTTATGTCGTTAAGGTTCATTAGTAAAACAGAACGAAGTTAAATTCTAGTTTGGGGAAATTATTAAATATTATTAAAATCATGAATGTGTTGCTTGTGTGAGTCAATCTCAAATAGGTACAGAAATAATAAATAAGATTTACTCACAATCAATTTAATTTAACTATCAGACGACCGGTTTCGCTATCTACAATATGCAAAGCATCCTCAGGTCTCGATATAAAGTTAAACAAATGCTGAAATAATAAAAACCAATATTAGGGTGTTTTCTAATAAAGATAAACAAAGTAGGTGTTGTAAATTACAATAATTATGCCAATATTACATGTCTGTGGTTTTACTTAAATGAGTAAGTTGAATAAAAGGTATAAAATTTTTAAAAAGTTTAAACAGACAAGGTAAGGCCCACAAATTGTTATAAAATAGTCTCTTCGATTGTAATAAATTAATAAATGAGCAAATAAATAAATAAAATAAACATTACTTACATGCCGGTACTCTATTAATAGATGGATGGTAGAACATGGTTGAAACTACTTTATATTGTTGAATGGAGAACTCAATTCTATTATTGCAGTTGTTTGACAGTAAACGGCAAGTTCTTGAGGAGATAGATTTGATCCAATAAAGAAGAGATATGTGTGAGATTGTTTGTTAAATGTAAGTGATGTAATATACCATTGTGTTATTAAAAGCTATTTATACTTATTCGAGAGAGAGAGAGAGAGAGAGAGAGAGATTACACATTACACATTTCAAAAATATATCTCTCGAATAAGTATAAATAGCTTTTAATAACACAATGGTATATTACATCACTTACATTTAACAAACAATCTCACACATATCTCTTCTTCATTGGATCAAATCTATCCCCTCAAGAACTTCCCGTTTACTGTCAAACAACTGCAATAATAGAATTGAGTTCTCCATTCAACAATATAAAGTAGTTTCAACCATGTTCTACCATCCATCTATTAATAGAGTACCGGCATATAAGTAATGTTCATTTTATTTATTTATTTGCTCATTTATTAATTTATTACAATCGAAGAGACTATTTTATAACAATTTGTGGGCCTTATCTTGTCTGTTTAAACTTTTTAAAAATTTTATACCTTTTATTCAACTTACTCATTTAAATAAAACCACAGCCATGTAATATTGGCATAATTATTGTAATTTACAACACCTACTTTGTTTATCGTTATTAGACAACACCCTAATATGGGTTTTTATTATTTCAGCATTTGTTTAACTTTGTATCGAGACCTGAGGATGCTTTGCATATTGTAGAAAGCGAAACCGGTCATCTGATAGTTAAATTTAATTGATTGTGAGTAAGTCTTATTTATTATTTCTTTACCTATTTGAAATATTATTATTTTTGATTTTCTTAATTGAATTTTTTTTATTATATTATATTGTTCATGTATTATTATTATATCTTATTGAGACGTATATAAGAAAAGCAAGGAAATGTTATCTTTTTTAGTTAATGAAAATTATTATTAAAGTAGGTTAGTTGTTAATGGATATATCAGTCAAGTTAGTTATCTGTGATGTTGTATTGTTCCTGGTATCTGATTTAAGTAAGAAGTGGTATATATCGCTTAGATTCTTAATGTCACTCTTAACATTGATGGAGAAATCGTTAAGGAAAATATAAGACATTTCAATGAACTCTCTTTTAGATTTATTGTTGGTGGAGAATTGTAGTGTTTGTACAGTCCATGAAATGACCAGCGGAATGGACATGTTTGGCTAATGCACAGCGGTCAGGGTGAAGTCAAGACTCACTTTTGTGTAGTGTAATACGTGATTGATGAGGTTGATCAACTGCTTAATATTCCCAATACTGACCTACGGATGTGAATCTTGGACTCTGAGACAATCGGAGAGAAGAAAGATAGACGCCACTGAAATGTTCTGTTGGAGACGAATGTTACGAATTCCTTGGACCGACCGTAGAACAAATAATTCAATTTTAAGAGAGCTTAAAGTTAGCCAACGACTCTCTAGTAAAGTCCATCTCCAACAATTAAAATATTTTGGGCATGTTATGAGAGCAAACACAGAAAACATGGAAAGACTCATAATACAAGGAAAGGTAGAAGGCCGAAGATCACGAGGAAGGTCCCCAACAAGATGTATAGATCAAATTACAGGAATATGCCAAAGACCTATGCATGAATTAAAAGAAATGACCAGACACAGAGATCTCTGGAGACATACAATACACGACATCACGTCGACCACTACACTCCTCCTGGGGGGTCAGGATTGAAGAAAAAGAATACGTGATTTCAAAAATTAGGATGTTTGGCCGATGTAGGAATTGTTGCAAGAGAGAAATGGAATGTTGTAGACAATGTTATTAAGCCTATCTAGGGCAGTGTTATCTTTTATCTTAGAATAAAGATTATTAATTGTTAGGCCTGATCTACAAGCCAAATTAAGTTTAATGTTGTTATTATTATGACCAAAGCTATTTTCAACACTTTTCAGAATCCTTGTTAACCCCGTAGTGATATCTCTGAAATATGGTAATGAAAAATATTTGTTGATAGGAGTATCCGAGATTGGGGTCCCACTTAAGACATCAGGATCAGCATTGTTAGTCGCGAAGGAAGGTGAAGTACCTTCGTTATGGACAATGTTAAACAAAATCTTATTCACTAGAGGTGTTGGATAAGCGTTTGAAATGAAAAGTTTCTGTAGGATTTGTAGGTTTTTTGTATGAAAAGAAGGATCTATACAAGGAACGAATACAGGAAGGAACAATACATGACACATAACTAACTTAACTGATATATCCATTAACAACTAACCTAAAAAATTCAATTAAGTTGAAAAAATTCAATTAAGAAAATCTAAAATAATATTATTTCCCTAAACTGGGATTTAACTTCATTGTGTTTTACCAATGAATCTTAACAACATAAAGATTCCAAAGAACTACTTGAATTGTCAGCGCATGCGTTCTGATAAAACAGAACATTACATTTAAACTTTCAAATAATCAAGAATTTACTTATCGCCGACAATTTAAAGAATTACTTCCTTTTAAATGTAGTTACATTGGGTTTCGATTACCCTTGGGTACATTGGTAATGTTGCCAGATTTGCCGTTTCTCTTATATTATTAGTACCCAACTTTGGTTTTCCAAATTCATCACACTGTATATTCAGTCATTATTGCAATCTCCTATTCAATTCGAGTTTAGCTATTATGTCATCATCATCACAGTCATTAACATCTTAGTAGATGTGTTGTGGTTCATAATTGGGCTTCAGCAGCTCGGACAGTTTGATTGATAATATTTTTCCACTGGTCGCGGTCATCAGTTATATGTATTGCCTCAGTATACTGTTTATTGAGAAGCTTTTTAGTAATGTCCGCCCATCGCTGTGGAGATCTTCCGCGTTGGCGTTGAGTCTGAGGCCTTCCTTGGACCACCAACCGCTCCATTTTGTGATCACTTCGATGGATATGGCCAAAGAAATTTTAGAATTCTAGAGTAAACGGTACTGGAGAGACGCTGATCCGGTTTAATTTCATCCAGAATCGAGATATTTGTACGGCGAGCCGTCCATGGAATTCGAAGCAGGTCCACATTTCAAAGGCGTCTATACGTCGTCGATCTGATTCTTTGACTGTCCATGTCTTGCATGCATAGTAAAATATGGAAAAGACCAGAGTTGAAACGAGTCTCTTTTTGTTTGTCATAGTAATGTGACGATCACGCCAGACCCCGTTTAGTTCACTCATTGCTGCTCTTGCTAGTTGAATGCGTCTTCTAATTTCGGATTCACAACTGCCTGTGTTGTTAACTAGAGCTCCAAGATATATCATAGATGAGACTACCTCGCATCCCGCAATAGTTTGGTTTTCAGGAAACTGTTGTTGGCGATTAATAACCATGATTTTGGTTTTGTTGTAGTTAACCATGAGTCCAAATTTAGCACTTTCTACCTCGAGTTTTTTTTAATAATTTTATCATTTCTTCTGGAGTAGAGGCTAGAAGTGTAGTGTCGTCTGCGAAACGCAAGTTAGATATCTTAACACCACCTAGGTTTACTCCTCCCTCCCAACCATCCAAAACTCTGCGAATTATGAACTCCGAATAGATGTTAAATAGTAAGGGAGATAAAACGCGTCCTTGGCGTACTCCCTTCTCCAAAGTGCATTTGTCAGACAGATATCCGTCCATTCGAATATATGCCAGGTTATCTTGATACAGTTTGCTAATAAGATGAGTCAAGTGTTTAGGTACACCC